CCTGGCTTCAGTCCCCAGCACCGCCACACTGAAACAGGGTCTTTGCTTTCTTTTATTCTCATCTCTATGTTTTTAACCCAGTGCCTCACACATGCTGGGCAAGTGCTCTGCCACTGAGCCACAGCCACAGGGTCTATGCTTTTAAGAAAGAAATACTTGATCTTTCCAGCTCTGGGGGAGCTGAGCTGTAACGTGGGGTGAAGCCTGCAAGGAGCATTGATCTGAAGCCTGTTTGTGCCCCGAGATGGGAAGGGTGCAGGAGCTGGCGGTGGGCTGGACAGCTGGCGTGGAGGGGGAGGCCAGGAGTGGGTGGCCCTTCCTCCAGCAGCAGAATCAGCCCACGTGGGCTAGGACTGGAGGCCACAGCAAGGCTGTTCCCTTAGCGACCAGCCACCACGAACAAGCCCAATTACAGCAGGACCCCAACACCAAGGGACGGACTCCCTTTGTCTCTCTGACCTGTCCTTCTCTGAGCCATTCTCAGTTTATCTCATAGTCCAGGCCACAGGTCTGGTAGACAAATGTCCTGCCCCAGAAGTCAAAACCACCCGGGCACCGGCCGTTTCCAGGATCAGACCCACACGGCCATCTCGGATAGTGATGAGCCAGATTCACCGACCTAGGCAGCTGGCCATGGCTCTGCCTTCCCCAGGTGACTCCAGGCTATTGTTGACCCCCCAAATCTGTCCTTAGGCCTGTCCTCCTAGGGCGGCCACCCTGAAAATAGCTCTTTTTTCCTTGACCATCTGGTTTTCTTTCAGGGCGAGTGGCCTGGTCTGTGGGGACCCTCCTGAGTCCTTCGGCCAGGACTCCAGCCCACACGGCAAGGGCTTGGATGGAGGTGTTCTGAATTCCGAGTTCCTCGGAAGCCACTTGGCGGGCATCCAGCGGCACACGGAGGAGCGTTTGTCTCTGAGTTAAACCTTCCAAATGTCTAATTCCTTTTATCAGCGATTTCTCACCTAAATAGGCCAAGGACAGCAAAGCTCACCCTGGAGAGGCACTGACCCCTGGACCAGCAATGCCCCGTCCCACTGGTATTCAGACCCCAGCGGGAGCTCGGGAAACCTGACCCCCGGCTCTGACCCCGGCCCTGTTAGTTCTGGAAGCTTCTCAGGTGGTTCCACTGCTGGCAAGCAAAGAAACCCGGCTTTACGTGGCCCCAGTTACAGTTTAGAGGTGAGGTGACCCCCAAAGCTCACGTGTGAGACGATGGAGAAGGTTCAAGGAGAAGGGTCAGGTTGTGAAGCCTTGACCCAGTTGGTGACTTACCCCCGAGGGAATAACTGGGTGGCGGCTGGAGGCGGTGGGCTGTGGCCGGAGGAAGGGACCCTGGACGCGTGCCACTGGGGTGTCTGGTGAGTGAGACCTCTCTCTCGCTTCCTGATCACCATGAGGGCAGCTTCCCTCCACCCTACTCTTCCACCATGTCGTCCAGCCCCACCTCCAGCCCCGAGGAATGGAGCCTGCTGTCCACAGGCTGAGACCGCTGAAACCACAGGACCCCGAATAAACGTTTCCTCCTCTGACATTGCTCTTGTCCGGTCTGGTAGTCACAGGAGCAAACAATCGGACTAGGCCGCAGCTGCTCCTCAGGCAGACAGTGGGCTTGCCGAAGTGGACTGGGACTGGGTGGGTTTCCTCCGGGTGAGCAGCCGTCCAGTCGGGAGAGGCAGGAGGGTCTCGCCAGCTGAGGACAACGGGCAACTTCAGTGAATTTACTTAAAACAGAAAAAGTTCTCTCAGTGGCTCTCAGGCTTGAGGTCAGTACTAACCCTCCTGGGACTTATTAAGATAGGATTGCTGTCCTCATCCCTGAATCTCTGCCCCCGCAGACCTGGGCCCGAGGCTCTTCACCGTGACCTCTCCCGGGAGATGCCCGGCCTGCTGGTCCCAGGACCCTGCTCTGAGAACCACAAGGGCTGGGGTGGAGCTCAGGGGAAAGCGCTGGCTTGGCCACGGGAGGCCCGAGTGGGAGCCCCTGCATTCAAATGAATGAATACCTGAGAATGACGGAGAGTGGAACTTGTACTTAATGGAGAGGCAGGTTGCAGGACCACCGTCCTAACAGCCAAGCACAAGTGGAGTGTGTGGCTGAGAGGACAGGAAGGTCTGGGGACTAAAGACGGCAGGCCCTGAGAGCTGGGCCGGAGGCCTCAGTGGTCAGAGGCAGATTCTTCCCTCTGCCGGGTCTGATGGACGCGGGGAGCTGGCAGGAGTGACAGGCACCAGGACCACCTCTTCTCTGACGCCTGAGGATGCAGGTGCCAGCCCCCACCCCAGCAGATCCCACCCTGGGGAGGGGGCACCCTCGGCCTGGGGGACAGCCCTCCCTGCCCCCTCCTTGAGGCTGGACTGGACAGAAGCTCACTCCTTTGGGCTGCTTTGGCCAGGCCCGTCCTCGGGCTTCGTCCCGCCCTGCCTGTCTTAGCTAAGAATCCTGCCAAGTCTCCCCGACCCTGGACACCTGGCCATCCCCCTGAGTCCTGGGCCTGCCCCGAGGGAGGACCCGTGTCTCCTCTTCATCACGCCCGTCACGGACCCTCCCTCCACTCGGCACCTTGTCCGTCACCTGTCCTGGACCTGAGCTGGGCCTCCCGTGGCAGCAGTGCGGACCAGAGGCCTCCACTGTCTGCTGAGTCTCCCTGACCGCCTTGGTGAAGGGAGGGGACCTGCCGGGCCGCCCAGCTGCTTCAGCTCTGCCCCCGTTTCAGCCCAAGGCCAGGGGCAAGGACAGGACGAAGGTCTCCAACTCAGCATGAGGACCTGTGGCCTGGCCAACACCGACAGAGGGAAGCTGCAGAAGGAGCCAAGGAGACCCAGATGGCCCGGCCCCCGCTGACCGCGAGCAGACGCTGCAGGGGAAGATTGTCCTGCCGTCCTCCTTAATGACGGGGGTGTCTTTATGGAACTGGCCTTCCAAGTCCTCTCAGCACAGGGGAGTGACCGGGCTGCAGGCAGGGGGCCCTTTCAGCTGCTCTGCCCCATGTGGCCATGATGTCAGACACAAAGAAGGGAGTGAATGACAGCCCAGCTGTGACCCTGGGGGGAGCCATCACTCTGTCCCGCTGGTCACCCAGTTAGAAGGTAGATGGTCCAGCTCCCTACATGCAGCTCTGGCCCGGGGTTTCTGCCAGGGTGTGGAGGGTGTCTCCCCAAGGAGAGGTCGAGGTGCCCTAGAAAAGGGAGTGCTTCTGCATCTTCGAGCATGGAGTGGGGAAGCAGAGGTCACCACCACTCAGGACCGACGAGGCCGTCACGGACAGGACAGGCCAGGACTCACTCAGGAAAGCAGAGGGACATGCAGGGGAGGGCAAAGTGGGTCTGGGGCAGAGGCGTCTCTGGGGGCAGAGTCAGCAGCACACACTCCAGGGGGGGTGTGGCCCGGGTCCAGAGGGGGAGACGGCCAGGGCCTGGTCTGGCTGTTAATATTTGTAGAGGGCAGTGGGGGCCCGGGCCAGAGGAGTCAGGCAGAGCTGAGAGCTTGGGGCTGGTTTCCCTAGTGCTGGGGCACTGCCCTCCTGTTACCTTTGGCCAGCAAGGGTCAGGGTCAAGGGCACAGGCTAAGGGTGCAGGCAGGTGGCTGAGGGAGGCCACCTGCACTTGGTGAGTTCATGGGCATTCCCTGCAGCCCAGCAGCCGTGGCCACTCCTCCTGAGACTCAGTCTGGCTTTCTCTTTGTGTATCCCCAACTCCTACCTCCAACAGAAGGCACAGGGCCCTGTCCCACTCCCTCCCAAGTCTGCCACTTCACCATTACGGGTCCAGTCCTTGGCGTCTGGGGCTCTTGGACTTAGAAGTCTGGGGAGGTGCAGTTTGGGTGAAAGTGGGACCAGCACAGTCTGTGGTCCCATGTGTCCCTCTTCCCTGTAACAGTGACGGGCTCCGAGGGAGGCAGGCTTCCAAGGCCACGCACCTTGGGGGAGACGCGGCGTGGGGGGCGCTGTCCCAGACTCCCTTCAGCAGGACGTCTAGCCTTGGCTCTTTCAGTGGCCTTCACTGAAGGCCTGCACTGGCCAGCCACAGGGGCCGACTCTGGAGGGACCATGCTCATCAAAAGGGGTGGGCACCGGGAATGAGGGAGTGTCGTGGGTTGAAGGCTTGGTCCCCAGTACATCAGTGTTCCGGTGGAGCTTTGGCTGCTGACGGGGTGAGGCTCCGACCTCACCGCTGGATTCGTCCACGGATGGAGTCGATGTTTGAACGGGTCATTGGGAGGTGGTGGAAATAATGGGAGTGGGACTTCATTTAAGGGAGGGGGTCCCCGGGCCTATATCTTGTCCCTATGCTTCCTGGCTGCCACGAGGTAAGCAGCTGTAACCTTCCCCCACGGCCCCACAGCAAGGGGCCAGGGGCCCGAGCTCTGCCGCAGGAGCCAACACACCCGTCCTCCCAGGTGCCTAACACGGAGGTGGGCGCCCCTGACAGTGGTGTGGTGGACGCGAGCAGCTGTGCTGGGTGCTGCCCGGGAGCACATGGTGCTGCACAGAGAGATGCAGCTTTTGTCCTGAGGGAGAAGGCGGGAAGGTGTGCGTGTGCCCGGAGCAGGGTCCTGCAGGGGCCGGGAGAAGGGCGTTCATCTTCGCGCACAGAGACACAGTTGAGATGTCTCACGATGAGCCGATCCTGCGGCCACAACATCGGGGCAGGTCCCACAGCTGTCCAGAGACACGTGGAGTCCAGGGGATCTATTCCATTCCTTCCCACTGCAGACTGGACTCCCAGACTTGCCTGATTGGTGAGAGAAATCCGATAATTGAGAACGGTCGATGGTCTGTGTTGGTTGTCCCCTCGGGGTGCGCACACTGGGGGTTTTATCTGTGCCAGCTGAGGCTCGGACCTTGAGTGGTCATTTTGTGGTACCACGGTCCCCCGAATGGGCTTGAGGAAGCTGCTTGGGGGGTCAGGTGGGCTGGGGTTGGTCACTCATCTGCTGCACTGCCACTGGTTACTTGGTCCCAAAGAGAAAGTTCTAGAAGCCCCAGGTGACCTGAGACTTTCAGAAGTTCTGTGACAGTTGAAGCCCTCGAGGGACGGGAGCCATTTTCTTTCCTGGTTTGCGGAAAGGCTCGTCCTGCTTAAGACAGGAGCAAACGTTTGTGAGAAGCTGGTGAGCAGCCACGGACAGTTAGGTGGTCTAGGAGAGCGGAGGGACCTCGGGGCACAGGGTGGAGCCCAGGCCCTCGAGGGCAGCAGACCCCACTCCCCCAGCAGAGGCCCTGCTCCTGTTTGGAGCTGGTCAGGGGTCTGGCTCCACCTGCAGGCTGCCCAGTCCCTTTCTGGACCCCTGGTGCACACACCCCCCCAGCTGCTCTAAAGCAAGGCTCGCCTCCACCCACTGGCTCCTCCCTGAGAAGTTGTTCCTGCCCCCAGGATGGCCACATCTGCCTGCCTCCCAAAGCCTCGGTCCCGGGAGGGGAGACCGCCCTACTTGCCAACTGCCACCTGTGGGTTTGCGCCCCAGGGGATGGCAGGCCAGCAGTCTGGGATGAGAGCAGCTGACTGGGAGAGGGACTTGGGGGACCACACAGAGAGGAGCTGGAGAGGGACCCCATTCTGATCCCACTCTTGGAAGAAAAGTTGATTTTGTCAAAGTCCAAGTCCATGAAATCAGAAAGCCAGAGGACATTCCTCCAACCCCAGTAGCACCACCAACGTGGCCGGACTTACGGGAGGGGCCTCCCCCAACTTCCCTCTGCCACTCTGTCTCCAAGGCCGGTGGAGACGAATTGAGCAAGTGCACAAAGCCCTCCTGGGCCTCGCACAGATGGTACGTGGTGCGTTAGTGCCACATGTGGCTCTTCCTACGCAGCCGAAGGACCTTGAGTGTCCCCTTGTTGGTCATGGGTGGGCCTGAATCGGAGGGGCTTTGCTTCTGTGTGTGGCTCTGTGCTCTCTCACAGTGACGCAAACCCCAGACCATTTGAAGAGCCTGCTCCTGCCCCTTATGACACAGTTGTCCTCTGCGAGGCAGGAGCTGAGCGAAACACCCCCTTTTCCATAGCGTGGGCCTGTCGGGACCTGCAGACAGTAACGGTCTCGAAACCAATAGCTTTGGGCAAACTGGAGACCCAGATCTGGGGGATCCACCACCATCTGTCAGAGCTGCACTGTGGCAATTGCAAGAGAGCAAACACAGGCCCCAGGCCCCCAAGGGCTGACGGCCCCTCACTGCTGTGGAAAGACTGCGGCAGACTTCCTGGTCCGTCCACAGGTGCAGGGCAGGCCCCACTCTGCCTTTGCAGACCTCACCTCCCTGCACCCCCGACCCAGCCCCTTTACGGGAAATTCTGATATTTTTAAATGAATTGGTTTGCACTAATTTTGATATTTAAGAATATTTTCATACTAAATATATTGATGCCCGAGAGCTTTGGCCTTTCCTTAGACACCGTGCTCACAGTGAGGCCCTGGATGTCTCACCTTTGGGCCTCCGGTGGGTTCTTTAAGGAGCTCCCTCACCCCAACTCTCTAGTACCCTCTTAAAGGAGGAGCCACAGGGGAGTCACCCCTGGGCATCTGAGCAGTGGCTCCAGGGTCCAAAGGGACAGGGTGCAGGACAGGGCACCGCTGGGCCCACGGCGGCTGGGGTCCCATGGGGACAGTTGGACTCCGCACCCCGCATGTGGCCTGCCGCCTCTCCCCCTCTGCTTCTCATAAGCACTGGGGTGAGGTGTCTTTTGTCCCTTCTTTGGGCCCTTTCTACCACCCTCTGTCCTCTCCTCCCCCGGTGCCTTCAGAATGTCTGGACAGGTCACCTCCTCTGTCTTCCTCCAGTGTTCTTCTCTGTCTTTCTTAACCAACTAACTTGATGGCCACAAGTGACTCAAGCACACACTACTCCATTGGTGACACCCCACAGCAGGGCCAGGGCCGGTGTCCAGCCACAGCACCTGGACACCACTTCCTGGCCCGTCCCCCGCCACAGCCCATCCACAGCTAAACCAGGCTCCGTGGGCTGGTGGGAGAACGCCACTGGCCCAGCGAGGGGCGGGCAAGGGGGGCCTGGGAGCGCATCTGACACCTGTCTGTTCGCCGCGCAGAGGCCAGAGGCGTGAGCCAGGACCAAGATGACCATTACACCCGACGTCAGATTCGAGTACTTGGAGGAAATCGCCTCCCTCATCCTCAAGTTCAAGCCCGACAAGTGGAGCAAGCTGATGGGAGCTGAGGAGAACTTGGCCTTGTTCACAGAGTTCTTTGAAAAGCCAGAAGTCACCGTGCTGGTGTTGACGCTCAATGCCACCGGCATGATCGTCCCCTGCCTGGGCTTCCCAGAGTCCCTCAAGACCAAGGGGGTGTACTTTATCAAGACGAAGCCAGAGAGCATCAACAAGCTCAACTACAAGACGAACCTGCTCTATGGGGACATAAGCCCTCTGCCCGTGGACCAGCTGATCGCGGTGGTGGAAGAGGTGCGTGTGTCCAGGAGGCCGGGAGGGGCTGGGTCCCACGCTGTCCCTCACACTCACAGTGAGGAGCCCAGAGACACTGCGGCCGCACCGGGAAACTGGTCAGAAATGCAGACAGACCTGCATCCTAACAGGACTGGGTGGTGCAGTCTGAGAAGCCCTGCCCATCCCCTGGTTCTCCAGGCCACGTTAGAGTCTGCCGGACACCTAGAGTGGGCCACCAAGGACCAGCAGGAAGGTCTCCCCCGTTCCGAGTTAGGAGGGTGGGCGGGCATCTTCTGTACCCCTCTGCCGCCGTCCTGCAGCCTCCCTGGCCCTGTCAGCAGGTGCAGTACGGCACGGGGCATGCCTGGGGGTCAGACCTGCCGCAGTCATTGCAGAATGAGAACCTGGGTCCCGCCTTGTGCCCAGTCAAGGGAAAATCAGATGCCCAGTGGCCACTCAGCAGGGCCCAGAACAAGGTGATGGACAGGGCTTCCCAGCCTCGAGTCCAAGAGTCGTGAGCACAGTCGGCCCGACGGGGGCGCACGGTCCCTGTCCCAGGCAGCAGGGCCAGCGCATGGCGCACCTGGGCTGGGCCTCAGCAGGCCGCGCTCCACCGTGGTCCTGAAGACTGGCACTCTGAGGGGCAGAGCTGGCTGGTGGCTCCTGACACCTTCTGGCATGTAGATGCCACCTCTGCCCTATTTCTCAGGGTCATCCTTCTCTGCCTGCCTCCGTCCCCATCTCCTCTTGTGAGGACACGGGTCCTCTTACCTTAGGGCCCACCCTGCCGACCTCATTTTACCCCTAATTACCTCTTCAAAGGCCCCTATATCCAGCTACGGTCACATCCCCAAGTGCTGGGGGTGGGACACTGCCTTAGACTTGGGCACTCAGCTCAGCCCGTCTCTGCAATTCTGGACGACATGGAACAGTGCTTCGGGCAAGATGCTACCATTTCAAGGTGGGCCTCCCTTTTTGGAGGTGGCTTTGCCACAGCAAAGACCAGGCAGCTGGGCTGTCACTGCCAGGTCAAACGACCCATGGCCCCCGCTGCCTGGTGTGGAGGAGGACTCTGTCTCCCCAGCGCTGAGGCCCAGCCTCCTGGGGCAGCTGGGGTGAACGACAGCAGCTTTTCCGTGCAGGTCCTCTACTCTCTGCTCAACCAGAGCGAGAACATGGAAGGCTGGCCGCGGGTGGTCTCCGAAGACATCGTGAAGCAAGTCCACAAGCTCAAGAACGAGATGTTTGTGATGGGCGGCAAGATCAAAGGGAAGACCCTGCTGCCCATCCCCGAGAACCTGGAGAACCTGGACGGCGCTCTGGAGTCCATGGAGAGGTACTGGCTGGACGGGAGGTGCCTGAGCTGGGGCAAGGGAAGCGCTTTGTGGCAAATGCGTTTTGTGTTTTGCAGCTGTTGAAACACCCAAGGACAGGAGGGCACCTTGGGTGGCACCAAGTTGGGTAGATGGCACAGGGCAGGGAAGGAAGAGCACAGGAGTCCCTGGGATTCCGACTCCAGCCACCCCCCCACCCCTTCACACACTGTGGCTCCCCAGTGCCATCTGCACACGCACGTGAACGAAGCCTCAGCGTCCACACGGCCGGGAGCCAGCGTGCTCGGCTTGAGGATTCAGTGCTGAGGGACAGGAGGAGGCAGCAGGGGGGTCCAGAGGTGGATGCTAGGCTAGGTGGAGGCTGTGGCAGGTGTGTGGCCGGAAGAGCATGGTCCTCCCTTGTGCCTGGCAGGATCCCCTCCTCCCTGGACAACTCCCTCCTGCACGCCATTGAAACCATTATCATCGACTGGTCCCACCAGATCCGGGACGTGCTGAGCAAGGACTCGGCCCAGGCCCTCCTGGACGGGCTGAACCCCCTGCCCCAGGTTGAGTTCCAGTTCTGGGACGCCCGGCTGATGAACCTCAAGTGCATCCACGAGCAGGTAGGGCCTCTGCTCGGCTGCGATGGCCCAGTCCCTGCTGGGCGGCTTGGCCCGGTGCTCAGCCCCTCAGCGCTGGCTGCCCAGAGTCTCCCAAGACCTGCACAAGCTCCCCCTCTCCAGCCGCCTCAAGTCGGGCTGCCCCCATTTTAGGGTGTGCAAGTTCACTTGAGGGGCCCGAATCTTCTCTCCTCTCAGCTCAACAGGCCCAAAGTGAACAAAATTGTGGAGATCCTGGAGAAAGCCCAAAGCTGCTACTGGCCGGCCCTGCAGAACGTCTACATGAACGTCACCGAAGGTGCGCCCGGGACACCGCCCGGGAGTCCCCGAGGAAGCCAGCCATGCCTCCTGGGAGGGGCTGGACAGGTCCCTTGCCCACCGACTCCAGAGGGCATACATGTCCCCCACGAGCCGCTTTTCCGGCCCCCTCCTTCCAAGAATGATCCTGTGTCTTGAAGGAACAGGTCTCAGGAAGCCCAGCCACTTTGGCACGGTGCCATTTTGACGGGATTCCCCCCCCCCCCCAATGACCAGAGCTTGTTCCTGTTCCACTCAGGGCTGAAGGAAGCCAACGACATCGTTCTGTACCTGAAGCCCCTGCGGATCTCGCTGGAGGAGATGGAACAGGCCGACTTCTCGGTGGTGTGTTGGCAGGGGAAGCTCATGCTGTGTGTGATGATGGGGGCTGTGTCCTGGGAGCAGGGGGCTGCAGGCTTCTCTCTGTCACAGATGTACAAAGTCCTCTGGGTCCCTCCCCTGGGTGCCCAGTGCCAGCTGGGGCAGTATGACAAAGCCAGTCCCCGTGTGCCTGTGCCCGTCTCTCTCCAGCTCCCGAACTTCATTGCCAAGGTGCTGGACACCATCGCCTTCATCTGGGCCACCTCGGAGCACTACAACACGCCCTCCAGGGTCATCGTCATCCTGCGGGAGTTGTGCAACCAGATCATTGAGATGGTGAGCCTCGCCTGCCCGCCCGGCCAGGCCTGGCCCCCTTCCTCTCCGTTCCCCAGCCACCGAGAAAGGGCCGGGATGTTGGCTTGAGCATCCTGAGGGTGGGTCCTTCTGGTGACCACCTGGAGGTCTCCCAGAGCCTGGGAATTCCTTGCCCACTCCACTGCAGGAGGAGACTCACCCAGGGAGCCTGCACCCCAAGACCCAGGCACTTCCTGTGTCCCTCAACACACGCCCTTAGTCATCAGTGCTGGGTTGAAGGCTGCAGCCCTAGGCTGCCTGCGTGCATGCAAATCAGCCTGCAGTCCTCGCTCCCGGAGGGTCCCTAGTCATCTGTGACCCAAATCCATTCTGACTGCAGCTTTGGCACAGGCTGAGGGGACAAGTATGGGAAGCCACTCAGTGCCCTGAAAATGGCTCAGCAGTTGGCATTTGGGTGGCACCAAGTGCCCAAGCGACAGTCCCCTGTCAGAAGAAGCAGACCCCCCCCCCCGGCCTCGCGGGGATGGCTCCTCATCCTGAGCGTCTCTCCAGGAGTCTGTCTTCTGTCCTGTCCAGACGCGGACCTTCCTGAGCCCCGAGGAGGTCCTGAAGGGCTTGCAGGGCGAGATCGAGGAGGTCCTGAGTGGCATCTCGCTGTCTGTGTACGTCCTGAAGCGGGTCTTCCAGGCCTACGACTTCTGCTGCTCCAACATGAAGCTCTTCTTCAAGGTACCGCCCCCCGCCCCGGCAGGTCACCCTGGGAACACCCACGTCCACCGCACCCCGGCCGGCAGTCGGGTAGGTGGGCGTCTGAAGCAAACACGGCTTCCCTCTCTCTCCTTCCCCCCCCAAGAACAAGGACCCCGTGCCCTGGGAGTTCCCATCTTCCCTCGCCTTCTCCAGAATGAACTCTTTCTTCCACCGCATCCAGACCATTGAGGTAAAAATGAAGCTTTGTTCCGCCTCACCTCGACTTCCCACCCGGCCTTTCTAGAATGACCCTCAGGTGGCTCAGTGGTGGAGCACCTGCCTAATGTGGGGGGGCCTGGCTTCCACCCCCAGAATTGCAAAAATAAAAAACGAAATATCCAGAGAAGTCTGCCAGTAAGGAAAATACAGGGGAAGACCAGTTGTCTGTGTCCGGGGCAGCTGGATCTGTCTGCCAAGGTCAGAAATGACCCACTGGGTTGCGTCTGCCCTGAGTTCACTCCGCGAGCAGGTAGCTACAAGTTCAATGGCCACTCAGTCAGGCAGCCTGGAGGACAAGGGCAGGTAGTGACTAAATCATCACAAAGGAAGACTTGAGAGGCCCTGGTGGACCGGCAGAGTGACCCACAGCAGATGAGAGCCTGAAAGTGGGCCAGGATGGCTTTCCCTGGGGAAAGAGGGTCCAGATGGAGGGGTACGGAGGCTTGGCTGTCTGCTTTGCCATCTTCTGCATGGCTGATTTTTTTTTTTAACTGTGCACATGTGACTCAAAAGATGGGGAAGGGAGTAATCCTGGAGCCACTGAGCGTTAACTATAGGATTTTAGGAAAGCGCTGACCTTTCTCAGCCAGGCCTCTGGGAGGCAGAGCGGGGAAGCCCCCTGAGAGCGCGGGACGGAAATGTTCATTCAGACGGCGATCTGGCCGGGTGGCTGTGGGTTCCTGTGTCGCAGATTCTGAATCAGGATGAAGGCCCTGGGGGTGAGGAGGTCTTGGGAGTGGGGCAAAGGGCTTCACTGCCCAGGCCAGTCGGGCCAGCCTCCCTACCTTGTCCTCCATGTTGACCGTCGAAGCCTGAGAGCAGGTGACATGGCTGTTTCTCCGCTCACCTGGGTTCCCTGTGGCCCTGTGGTTGGTGCATCCTAGGCCTCTTGGGGTCAAGGGCGGCCCCAGCAAGCTGCAGCACCCCCAGGGGAGTGACGCCAACCCCACAGGAGCATCTGCGTTCTAAACCCTGCCTGGCCCTGGGCTTGGCACCTGGGTGTCCTTTAGGGACCTTGGGGACCTCTTTTAGGAAACAGGAACATCACACGCAGAAGCACCTGCCAACAGGTTAGGGTTAGGGTTAGGGTTAGGGTTAGGGTTAGGGTTAGGGTTAGGGTTAGGGTGGGTGAGATGCAAAGCCGAGAGCAGAGAGGGAACCAGACTCAGGAAGGACACAGGCCGCGGGGAAGGGCAGGTCCACAGACAGAAGCCCGCAGAGGAAGAGGGATGTGCACACCTGCCAGGGCCACCTGCTGCTGCTCAGTGTGGACGGTTCCTGAGAGCAGAGAAGCCCAGTGGGCGGAGCCTCAGGAGCCACCCAGGCGGGGCAGACGGAGGCCTCTGAACAGTGCTGTTGACTGAGTGACGTACTCCACCAGCAACGGTCAGGACCGGACCCCAGACTTCACCTCCCCCTGTTGTCCGCATCCCTAACACGCAGACGATGCGCAGACCCCTTCCTTCCGACTCTCTCTCCCCCCCTCCCTCTCTCTGTCCCAGAAACAGCTTCAAAGCCCATCACACAGGTGGACACAAGCCTTGTCACCAGGGTGTTTTGGTCCCTGGCCCTCCCTGCTAGGGTCAGAGTGAGCTGAGTCACAGGACCCTGGAGTTCAGCGGGAGATGGAGGACTAGCTCATGGGGGCCTCCCTCTCCCCACCAGGATCTCTACAAAACTGCCATCGAGTTTCTGAAGCTGGAGAAGATCGAGCTCGGGGGTGTGCGGGGCAACCTCCTGGGGAGCATGGTGACTCAGATTTACGACGAGGTCTTTGAGCTGGTGAAGGTTTTTGCCGAGTGCAAATACGATCCCTTGGACCCTGGAGACTCGGTGAGTCCTCGGGCAGGGACGGGTGCGCTTGGGCCCAAGGAGCAGAAAGGCGTGTGAAGGAAGCAGGCCACCTGCAGTCCACCACCTTAAAAGTTGTCAAGGAACTGGGCACGGTGGCACACACCTCTAGTCCCACCTACTCAGGCTGAGGCAGGAAGAGTGAGCTTCAAGTCCAGCCAGGGCAAATCAGTGAGACCCTGTCTCAAAGTTAAAAATAAAATAAAATCTGGGGATATGGGTCCGAGGCAGCGCACTAGTCTAGGAGGCGGGAGGCCCTGGGTTCAGTGCCCAGTACTGTCCCCAAAACAGAAAAAAGTGTTACACAAACCACACAAGGAGCAGACCCACACCAAGGGGCATCCTGGCTTGGACTTCACCCGAGACCTTCTCACCAGGGGGAGGCTCCACCCACTACCCGGCCTCACGGGCCAACTACCCACCATTTTCTTCTAGAGTTTTGACAATGATTACGCCGACTTTGAGACGAAAATCCAAGATCTGGACAGGAGGCTGGCCACCATCTTCTGCCAAGCGTTTGACGACTGCAGCTCCATTGAGTCCTCTGCGAAGGTGAGTGGGGAGCTGGGCGCTGCCCACCGTGAGTCCCGCCTGGGCCGCGTCAGCCAGCAGGACAGGCGCAGCCAGACCCCTTCCCTCAGACTCCCAGCTGGGCACGCGAGGAGCCCGGCTCAGGGCTGATGTGAGGCTGATCTGCTGCCTCCAGAGAAAGGCAGTGTGACGGGGAGGGGGGTACCCAGCACCAAGCCGCAGGTCCCAAGGTGAGGCCTGCGCCTGGCTCTGCCTGCCCAGGGCTGCTGACGTCTGCAGAGCATGTTTTGTGGGGATATCATCTGCCTCAGGCAGGTGGGTCTCGGGTGGTTCTTTAGTCTCGAGAACGGCCGATTCTGGAACCGACTTGAGGTCACCGAGTCGTCCCAGACCTGTGACTCTAACAAAACGAGACGGTTTTGATGTTTGCTCTTGAAGGCCTGTGGTCTGTTCCCCCACGTCCAGCCTCTGTCCCTCTCTCCGTGTGTTTGAAGGGTCGATTCAGATCTATGCTCAGGGGGCTCATTTGTCTTCCCCTGCTCTCCAGGAGAGGGTCCCCAGGGGTTCCCAGCCAGAGTTCCCTCACCCCCACGTCCCCTTTGGGGACCTCCACTGAGGACTGGTGGCGTCCTTGATGCACATGAAGAGAAGAATTTCAGTACCTCTCAGCAGAGGTTCCTTTAGAAAAGCCAGGAAGACTCACTGGAGGGAGGATGTGGCCACTGCAGAGCGAGGACCTGCTTGGGGGTTCCCAGCTCCCCTTCTGAAGGAGACTTGGCAAGGCGTCACTTGTGGGCTGACACTGCCCGGGCATCTCAAGGTGGTTTCTGGGGGTCTGGTCAGTCTCAGAATCCTCGGGCTCTCGTGCCTTCTCTCTCTGAGCAGCAGATGGCACTGGAAAGCCCCCTAAATCCTAGGTTCCTCAAAACATCACACTGCCCTTTGCTGGAGCTCCATACTGGAGGGCTGATTAGCACCGCACCAGGGAGATTCCCTGAGTTTGGGCCTGACAGGCCTGGGAGGGCCACAGCTCTGAGCTTGGCTGCGTGGGCTCCCAGGACTGGCCATCTTTCTGGGGCACGTCAGGGCTGGCTTCCTGGAGCTGGGCTGGGGACCCAGGAAGCCCCCTGCCCCTGACTGAGCACAAACATCTCACCAGGATGTGCCTTTGTCTTTTAACCATCCTTTGTAAAGATGCAGATGTGTGGGCATTGGCAGCTCTGCAAATACAATGACCAATGAAGTCTTGGATGGTTGGCACCCCAAGCAAAATACTACCGAGTGCAAATCAGTGCTGTCTCATGCTGTGGTTAAAGAAAAAAATTTAAATCTCAGTAAGGCAGATTTCACTGGGGCCCATAGCAATGGCTACAGGGACCCCTGCAACAGGATCTGACAATGGGGGACAGAAATTGGGTCAACTCTGAACACAGCGTGGGTGAGTGGAACCCACAGCCCAGGAGCAGGAGGGGTCAGGAGATGAAAGCTACTGAGAGAAGGAACATGGTGGGAAAGGGACTCTGTCTGAATCACCTGAGCAGGATTCCTGCTAAAGCCAGGCCTGGGGACCGGACCCCACCTGGGGTCAGGTGGAGGATGCGGAGCCTGATGGGATGTCCAGGGTGGGGTCCAGCTCACGCTGCTGTCACAGGGATGCGCACACGTGACCTAGGAGGGGCTTACCGTGCCGCGTGCTGGGACTCTCCCTGGAGTGCTCCTCCTGTCCTTCCTTCCCTCCCAACACCACCCGGCCCCTCCCTCCTCCTCCTCCCCCGGGCTCCTTCCTCCCTCTCACTGGCTGAGGCCGAGAGCCGGCTTCCCTTCTTGGGGCACCCCCGCTGCTCTGCTCTGTGGTGTGTTGACGTCCTTCTGGGATCTTGACTGCCCAAGCAGGATAGGACGACTGCCCCCTGCCTGCTGAAGGTGTGGGATTGAGGGTCACTTAGGACCCAGCCTAGCACACAACAGCAGCCTTGGCACTGTGACCCAGGGGCTGCGGCTGGGGGAGGTGGCTCACTCCAGCGCAGAGCTTTGCTGTGCAGCCGCATCCGGTTACTAACCCAGAGGTTCTGAGTCAAGAGGTCAAGGTGGAGAGCCCGAGGTCGGGGTCTCCGAAACAAAAGGGCAAGGAGGAGAGCGCAGGATTGAGCCGGCCAGGTGGCTGGCACGTCCCCTCTTATAGTAGTTATTCCCCGGTGTACAGGGGAGGAAACAGGCTCAGGGAATAGGAACCACCACCACCACCCCCACCCCCACCCCCCACCCCCCACCCCCGCCGTCAGCTTTGCCAGCAACACAGACTCGGCACCTTTGTGTCTTTCCACAACATGGGAATTCATTGAATCACGATGGTGCACCAGCTACGGGGCTTTCACCGGGTTTAATTCGCCGAGTCCTCGCAGTTCCCTGGTATGGAGACCACAGCGACCACACATTCTGTTAGCCCACTCCAATCTCAGTTCCTCTGTCTGCAACACGCACGTCCCACGTCCCACTTTACACAAGGACACAGCGGATGCAGAAGGACTGGGGTTGATGACAGGTGCCAAAGAGCGGCGGCAGCTGGCCAGAGGAGGCAAACCCAGCCTGAGAACTCCAGAGGCATGGGGAGGACTGGCCACTCCAGCATGGCCAGGGCCAAGGCCAGAGCTGGGGGAGCAGGCAGGGTGGACCAGGTCACTCAGGACATGACTAAGCTGCAGTCCCGGGGACAGTCAGGAGTCCCGGGGATCTGGGGATGCGTTCACCAGGTGGTGTGAAGGATGACAGGTTGGCACACACCAACCTCAGTGCCACGTCTTAGGTGCCCCTTCTTCTGTGTCCTAGGTGAGGGGCTGCATCACCAGGTGGTCTGGTTTGTTTGACAGGCTCACGGGCCTCGTTTCCCTGAGGTGGCTTTGATGCAGCCAGGCGCCCATGTGCTTTTGATTTGATACCTTGACGGGGCAATGAACTTGTTTCTGTTTGTGCCTGGAGTTATGTCCAATACCTGGTGGCTACCTACTTGCCCCGACATGTTTCCAAGCCCTTCCGCCTGGAAAGGGAGTCGCCTGGAGTGACTCATGGCAAACTGTTGCTGTGTAACGTGGGGTAGCCAAGGGCTGGGCCCTGCTGATCAGCACAACGTGGAGTGACCGCTGGCTCCCCTCACAGCCAGGGCAGGACGCTCTCCTGGATGGGAGTCTCTCAGCCCCAAAGGCACCCGGAGGCTTAGAACAAGAGGAGCAACAGATAGGGAGGACCGTCTGGGTGCGGGCTGAGCCCTGCCCAGGGCATTTTTCCTGGGGTGGGCAGGTGGGGAGGAAGGGAGGGTCACCTTTATGAGCAGCACTCGGGAGTCCTGGCCTTCTCTGTGTGGAGCAGGGGGTCTCGGAAGCAGCCAGGTGCCTAGAAGTGTTCCTGGAACCACCCAGAGCTGTCCTTCCCCTGGGTCCTGGAGGAGGCGCCCACACTTTAGGGCCCAGACGCAGCTTCTTGCTCTCATAGGAAGTCACTGTCCAGTTCCACTTTGTCATGGTGCTAGGTCAGAAAAGGCTCGACCTCCAACTGTCCCCAGGCATCTCACACAGAGCCTTCTCCTGCCCTTGAAGGCCCCGTGCCCTGCCAGGGTGGGCCCTGCTCCAGCCCCTCCACTCCCCTGTGCCCGCGCGGCCTGGGTGCAGGTTCTCCTGTGAAGAACACCTGTGGGTGCAGGTGACTCCTGGAAGGAAATAAGATGGACTTCCCCCCCAGAAGCCAGAAACCAAAAAAAAAAAAAAAAAAAAAAAAAACCTGTGAGCACAAAAGAGAAGGAAGAGAAATGGGAAAATAAGGGGGGGGGGGAAGAGCCAGGAAGTGGCATTGCCCCCGACTGTCTCAGGTGGACTTTAAAAGGTGAAGGTGGTGCCCACCTGTGTCTGCAGGTGGCCGTGGAGAGCAGGGCCTGGCTGGCCTGAGTGTCCTCAGGAGCCGCGGCTGTTCCACTTGACTTTGTAGAGAGCCTGAAGGTCTTCCGTTCTAAAGCACGTTGTTGGGGACAGTGGTGGTTCTTTTTCCAAGCCCAAATCTGGGACTGACTGGGACTCACACAGGCCTGCCTGCAGGGCCCCACTGGGTCCTTGGTGGCCGCTGGCAGCTGGGTGAGCCCAGAGAGCAGGGGCCCCTGGGTGGCCGTCTTTCTCCTGCTCTCTGGACCCTCCCCCTTCACCGTCCCTCCCCCGCCCGCCACCATTGCTGCTTTTCAGAGTGAAACCAACTTCCCGATGTCGATGTCGTTTTCCTCGCCTGAGCCTGGTCTTCCCAAGAGGAGGGACCCTTGAAAAAGCCTCTCTCCTCTGGCCGTCAGAGCTGCCCGGGTAGAGGAGTGCAGGCCTGGGCCGCTGTTCTCGTCTCCCTGCCCACACCCTTGTCGCCCTGGCCTGGGATGAGCTCTCCTGGGCCTCAGAGCCAGCGGGCACACTGGTCTGTCAGCCGAGCACGTTGGGGCTCCGCAAACAGAAACCCGGGACCCTGCAGGTGCCACAATCAGATGGCAGAGAAATGTCCAAGTGGATTTTTTGCTTGGACAAAGTCCGTGTTTTCTTGATCGTAAAGCTTGGCCCTGCCCATTTTGTCAACAGCCCTGGGCTGGGAACAGGGCTGGGGACAGGGCAAGACGCGGGAACTCTGGAGAAGACGTGCTCTTGCTGTCTCCCCAGCTCCTGTACATGTGCGGCAGTCTCCTGGAGCGGCCCCTGATCCTGGCCGAGGTGGTGCCCAGGTACTCCACCATGCTGGAGATGTTTGACACCGAGCTGGACAATGCCAAGCTCTTGTACGATGCCCAGATGGCAGCGTCTGCAGAGGGCGACATCCCGCCCATCCACAAGAACATGCCCTCCGTGGCCGGGCAGCTCAAGTGGAGCCTGGGGCTGCAGGAGAGGCTGGAGGTGTCCATGAAGCACCTGAAGTACATCGACCACCCGTGAGTGCCAGCTGGCCAGGCCCCGGGCAGCCTCATCCGCAGGGGACGAGGCCCTTCCTGAGCCCACGCCATCCCCGGCTGCCCGCCCACCAGCCTTCACTTCCACAACAAAGTTCCAGAGAGGCCCCTGCAGGCCTCCCCCCTCCCCCAAAGGCCCTCCCAGGCGGGTCCTCACCCTTGACCACCAGCCTGGGGAGATTTCCAAGATGCCCAAACGGAACACACTGAGGCTATTTCTGCCGTGGGCCAGGACCAAGCAGCCACCAAGCCAGGGCCACTTGCCCTTGGCAGAGGCTCTAAGGCTGGCTGCAGTGGAGGATGGCCGCGGGGTGGGGGTACAGCTGGTTAGAAGTAGTCACCTGAGGACGGCTTTTCTCCAGTTAGGGAAGCGGTTATCCGTCCAACCCTCGCCTTCCGCGGAGATTGCCACCTGGGCTACCGTTGGCTTCCTGGACTTGGGGCTTCAGCTGGGGGGCTGGCTCCCCGGGCTGGCCGTGACAGACTGTGGGTCCGAGTTCTGGTGGTATGCCAGGGTCTGGCCACGGTCCACCTGAACATTCAGCCCATCAGCCTGGAAGAAGCAGGGGGCTGGCTGGTGCTTCAGCCGGAGGCTGCCGAGACGAGCCGTCCCAGGGAAGCCTGGTGACTTCCAGCTCCACCCAACTCTGATTCCAGGGTCATGTCCAGCATGGAGACCAAGATGATCTACCAGAAATACGACGAGATGTTGGAGCTGCTGCGCAGCTACCGCGAGAGGGTCTACAGGCAGTGGGTGGACAAGGTGGACGAGGACTGCCACTTCAACCTGGGCCAGCCGCTCATCCAGCGACACGCCACCACCGGCCTGCTCCAAGTCAACTTCAGCAAGGCGGTGGGTCCCGGGAGCTAGGGGTCCGGCTGGAGGGACAGGAGGAGCCCAGGGCCCACTGTGGCTCTGAGGTGGCCCATCCCACCAACAGCGTTCATTTGTGAAGGTTGCTGTTGATGTCGTTGGCGGTGGCCACTTTATTTCTGAAGCATTTTTAAGTGTGTCCAGCATCTATTTGAGACACGAGGCAAAACAGTAGTGTCCTTGAAAAGACTTTCAAAAATGCCCCTCTTTAAAGCTTGGTCACTTTTCATTTGATCCCAAGAGGAAAACGTCGATATGAAAATTTAACAAAAGGGTGGGGGGAGAAGTCACCCGAGTGAGCTGTGACCTGGTCAGCTTGGGTGTGCAGAGGACAGAAGCGGGGGTGCTGAGCTCCTGCGGAGGCCGCCTGGGGCCCGTCCTGTCGGGGTGTGGGGGTAACACCAGGGAGGCAGGGAAACTCCCCTTCACTAACATCCGTTGGTTCTTTCATTCCACAAACATTTACTAAGCACCTACTGTGTGCATGTGTTGGGGAAAATTAATAAACCAGAGAATCAAAGGTCTCTGCCCTGCCCTCCTGGAGCTTATCTGCAAGAGGCGATGGGAACGTGGGGGAAGAGAGAGAGAGAGGGAGTGGCACAAAGAGGCAGGGATACCACCCGCGTGTCAACCCGTGACAGCAGGTGCACGGGGAGGGCAGTGAAGAGGGTCCGCAGGGCTGGAGGAGGGGGCTGGGAAGAGGTACAGGAGGGCTGGGGGGTGCAGGTTAGGTGTGGTCCAGGTCTGCCAGAGGTGCGGGGGCTGGCCAAGAGAGGTACAGCCAAGGGCCTCTGAGCCAAGGGTCCAGCAGAGCCCAGAGGCGGGAGTGTGTCCAGCATGCTCTAGGACCAGCAAGGTGGCCAGTGGGGTCGGGAAGAGTGGACAAAGGGGAGGCGGTGGAGACGAAGTGAGGAGAAGCCTCAGGGGCCACTGAAAGATAGGGCTAGGTTTGAGCCAGATGGCAGAGAGGCTGGGCCTGATTTACATCTGTGAAAGACCCCTCTCCACGAGGGCTGGACAGAGCCTGGAGTCCTCTGCTGCAGTGCAGGTGGGACATGACAGCCCAGCCCGGAGGGTGGTGGCTTGGGCACATGGCAGCCAGGCAGGTGGTGAGGAGTGGCAGACCCCACGGTGGTGCCCGAGGTTCTGCAAGGCCTGGGTACAGGGTAGGAAGGAAGAGAGGGGTCAGGCCCTTGTTTGGGGCTGGGTGACCAGAGGATGGAATGACCATCAGCTGACTGGACCAGGAGGGGCAGGCAGAGCAGGCTGAGGGAGAGCTCGCTGTTCTGTTTGGCACATTGAGTTTGAGGTGTCAGACATTCGAGGGCAGATGCTGACGGGGGTCTGAGAGTCTGGAGGTGGGGAGAGAAGCTGGGGCTGGAGACGTCCCTGTGGGGCTCATGGACACACGGATCGCATCTTAAGCCACGAGGTCAGATGAGACCAGATGAGAAGGACCACACTCTGGCTCTCCAACACGGACATCCCCAGATTTTCAAGAGAGTGATAAGAGTGACCAGGACAGTCTGGTGTCCTGGAAGCCATGGTGGAAGTGACCCGCTGCTGGGAGGCCATGTGACATGGCGGATGAATCAGCAGCGTGGAGGTGTTGTCCAGTCCTGATGGGGATGGCTTTGGGGGACAGGGCAGTAGTGGCAGGGTCACCCTGCTCTCCTGCATCAAATCCAGGTGGGAAGAGAAGGGGAAGGGTCCTAGAGGACCCAGGTGAAGCCCTCAAGGAGGCCTTTCTCCACACAGCCTGGGGTGGGCGAGGGGAGGAAGAGGCCAGAGCGGGGAGGTGGGGATGTGTCAGCGCGTGCTGGCAGGGACCCACGGTTAGGGTGAAGTCATCCTGACCTGCGAGCCAACACAGCCTCCCGCCAACGCCCCGGGGCCACCTCTGTTCCTGCTGCGTCCAGCTTCCCTGCTAACATGGTCTTTCATCTTCTTTTGCCATTTAGTTGGTGGCCGTCCTGAGAGAAGTCAAGTATTTGAATTTCCAGCAGCAAAAAGAGATTCCAGGCAGCGCGGAGCACCTCTTCTCTGAAAACGAGACCTTCCGGAAGTTCGTGGGGAACCTGGAGCTCATCGTGGGCTGGTACAATGAGGTAGGCCGCGACCTCGTGTGCTTTTCCCGCCAAGTCTCGGCTTTGGTTGAGACCAAGCAGGGGGTGAGCTCTGGACGCAGAAGAGGACCAACAGTGTGTCTTCGCAACCACGCGGGGTTCCAGCCCTCACGGTCAGGTGTGCGAGGACGGTGGGGACCCGGAGCAGTCCCTCCGCTGGGCTTCGGCAGGCCTGCACACTTCGTCCGAGAGGCTTTCCTCTCCTGAACGTCTCCTGGATAACGTGAAGGCCACGTACTTCCATTCCTCTCTTAAATTGGGGGAGGAAGGGGCTTCTGGAACCCAGGCTGGGACTGTCGGTCTCCCGGGGCTTGGGCCAGCGGGGAGGTGCCTGGACACGTGGCCAGTCCGCCTGCAGCTCTGTGTTCAAGAATTCCTGGACCCCTGGTGTCAGACCTGGGTCGCGGGCACACAGTCACAAAGAGGCTGCCATTGTGGTAGTCGGTAGGCTTGCAGACAGTGCCTCCTGGTGACAGGGCTGTGACAAGGCTGTTTGCTCAGAGCACCTTCCTCCTGGCGGAAGGACCAGAGGGATTCAGAGGGAGCCTGGGAGGCCTGCGGGTGGGGCACAGAGCAACACGCCTGTCTTTGTCCTGGGGACCCCCTCTCTTAGAGACCCCAACCACAGGGTGGCAAAGGGACATTATGCTTTGGATCTTAGCATCCCCTGGTCAACCATGGGCTACATCCCCAGCCCGTGGCACTATGGGGGTGGGGGTGGGGGTGGGGGGAACGGAACCTTCAGGAGGTGGGGCCCACGGGAAGGAAGCTGGGTCACGGAGTGTGCCCTTGAAGCAGTGGGCGTGGGACCCAGCCTCTTGCTCTCTGCCTTCGCTTCTTGCTACGAGGTGAGCAGCCTCCTGCCTCACTACGGACCCAAAGCAGCTAGGTCAACCCAGGGCTGCAACCCTAGGAGCCATAAGCTGGAATAACCTTTCCTCTGAGCCCAGTGGCCCACACCGGTAATCCCATCAGCCCAGGAGGCCGAGGCAGGAAGATGCCAAGTTCAGGGCCAGCCTCAGCAACATGGGGAAACCCTGTTCCAGAATTAAAACTCAGGAGGGCTGGGGATGTAGCCCATGGCTGAGCACCCCTGGGTTCAATTCCCAGTCCCACAAAATAACAATAATAATAACAACAATAATAGATATTCTTTAGTTGCTTTTTTCCCAGGCATGTAGTCACCATGAGGCACATCTAACACAGGTGCCCCCTGGACCCCAGGTTTGACCCCCGCCCCCACAGCAGACGGCCAGGTGCGAACTCAGTGTGGGTTTGCTGTCGCTGCTGTAGCTCAGCACCACGAAGCAGGAGGCTTGAAACAGCACAGGCCCCTGGTCTTCTGGGGCTGAGGTCAGGAGTCCACAGCCTGTACCTTCGGCAGGAGTCGAGGTGCTGGCCAAAGGTGGCTCTGGAGACTGTGTGTGTCTCTGGCTTCTCCAGCACTGAAGGGTGGCCACGTTGCTTGGCCAGTGGTCCCCTGGGAGGGTTCTCCTGAGAGCAGGGCAATGGGACAGGGAGCTAGACCTGAGATTCATGGCAAGGGATTGTCTCCCGTCGCGACAGAGGCCAGGAACTCCCCACGCCTGCTCTCTGCGAGCTGTGAGCCCGGAAGGCCAGTGTGGTGATTCAGTGTGAGCCCAGAGCCTGAGAGAGGGGGCAGGTGATGTCCATCCTGCCCAACATCAGGAGAGCAGAGGCGATGTCTATTCTATTCTATTCTTCGCTCCCCCCATTTTTCTCTTTTAAACTATCTCTGTCAGTATGATAATTAATAAAAATTGGTCTGAAATTTCATCAATTATTTAATTACAAATACTCAAAGTTGTTTTGTTTTCTAAATAGAAGTTACATCTTAGTCACAGGGCGCATCTCTTCCCATGGTGATGCAAATCCTTTGTCACAAAAATCACTGTAAAAACCGGAATCTCCTGAAACATAAGTTACATATAATTCCCCCCAAACTACATGCTGGTGACCAGCCGGGTGTGGAGAAGCCCGAGTCCTCGCCTTGTCTCTCCCCCCTGGGGTCCAAGTCCCCCTCGGCTAGGAACAGGCCCTTGTCTTGCAGATCAAGGCGACGGTGATGGACGTGGAGTACCCGCTCATCAAGTCAGAGCTGGAAGCCATCGACGACAGGCTGTCCAGCGCTGAGACCACGCTGTTCTGGAACAGCGAAGGTACCCAGGCCACCCACTGCCCGGGCTCCACGGGGTCCCAGCTGCCCACGCGGGTCCCGAGACGCTCCAGGAGCGGCTCTGGCACCTCCTGGCCTCCTGCAGCAGCTGCAGCTGTGTCAGGCTGAGGTCCAGAGCCCAGGGTCACTCTACCCACTGCCCTGTCCCAAAGGGCCCAGGGCTGTCACACACAGAACTGGGCACAGGCCTCTTGGGGATTGTTGGGGGAGAGAGAACAAGCCCACCAACACGTCTCAGCCTGCTGCAGGTGGCCTGGAGATAGAGGAAGGGCTCACCTCTTCCCCGGCTGCTCTGGCCCAGGCGGCTCTGTCAGGAGGCTCAGATCCCTGGGATTCTGCTCGTGGCTGGAGGGACTGGAGCCCAGGGCTGGGCTGCAACCCAGGAGTCCTGGGTTCTGGGGGGAAGGCAGTCGGCTGCTCTCCTCTGCCGAGCAGGAGACGGGCCTGGGGAGCCGGCCGTGGCCCAGGGCCCCTGGAGAGCTGTTCCCGTCACACTGCTGTCTGCTGGTCTTCAGATGTGTTTCAGTACATCCAAGAGATGCGGGAGGTTCTTCACGACCTGCAGAACAGGATGCAGAGGGCGAAGCAGAACATTGAAGGGATTTCCCAGGCCATGAAGGTGAGCGGACCCCAGGGTAGGACCGGGGAAGGAGACAGGGCGCGCAGGGAGGCCTGGGCAGGGCCATGTGCGGCAGAAAGCACGGGACCCTGCTGTGGAAGGCCCTGGACATGCAGCATGTCACCCTGGAACTGGATTCTGTTCCCAAGTGCTGAGCTCAGCAGAGGGGTGCAGGCCGACGGTGCCAGCCTGGCACTAGAGAGAGGGATGGGACAGGCTCTGGCCCTCGGGAACAGGCCACAGCCCAGTAGAGCGTCTGTAGCACTCCGCCTCCCGTGAGCTGTGGGCCGGACTCTCAGGACGTCCACCTCATCCCGCGGACGGCCATGGAGCTCAGCTCCCGTTCCAAGTCTCCCGTGGTTGGTTGGCTGTGAGACTTGTTTTCTGTTACCATTCACCTCTGTCACTTCCTCCCCCATCCTGCCCACCGCTATGTGTGTGTTTGATTCAGTCATCCTTTGGATGGAGTAGGCCCTCAGGGAACCTTGTCAGAAGTCAGGCCGAGATGCCCAGGGCCCCAAGTAGGCGCAGAGACCTGGGCTCCCCTGGAGCTGCCAAGGGGGGCAGAGTCACAGCCTCTCCAGGTCCTGCGCCCTCTCGCCCTCCCTCCAGGACTGGTCAGCCAACCCCCTGTTTGAGAGAAAGGACAACAAGAAAGAGGCCCTGCTGGACCTGGACGGGAGGACGGTCAACCTGAACAAGCGCTACACTGCCGTCAAGGAGGCCGGCGCCAAGATCCAAGCCATGGTCACGGTGAGCGCGAGGTCCTGGGGAGCCACTGGCCTGGCCCTCACAGGGGGGCGGAGAGAAGGCAGAGGTGGAGAGCTCATCCCGCGGGCAGCACCCGCGGTCAGTGCCACCGCAGCCCCTGTCCTTAACCTAAGACAGACTTTCCTTAGGACAGCCGGCCTTGGGGCTCTGGGCTGGGAAGCCTGACTCTTGGTGTGTCCGCCCTCCTCTGTCCGGGGGATCGGAACCCATTCCCGCCCTGCACAGAATTGGCACAGGGAAGTGACCTCCCTTCTGCACCAGCCTGTTCTTCAGGGTCAGGCTGCATCCCCGGGCTTCCCATCTGTGAGGGTGGGCAGCAGAACAGGCACGAGGTGCTTCCAGCCAGCACAGTTAAGGCCATGCGAGGGGGTGACACAGGCACCACGGGACGCTCCGCCTGGGCACCAGGCGGGGGGAGCCATGAAAACTGAGGCTTTGCATCAGCTGGAAAAGAGAATTCCCTCCTGGAGTTCCAGACAGTATGGGGGCAGCTTGGGGCTCCCCAGGGCAGTGTGCAGAGGAACGGTGTGGGCTCTGATGGCAGGTCCCCTGGGAGGATGGCCCGTGTGGCTCTGAGGGCTGCTACCCCAGGGAACGACTCAGCTGGGCTGCCTGTCCTTCTGTCCATCAACCCCAGCCCTGCCCACCCACCTCCCTCAGCTCCTGCTGACCCATGCTCACGGCCAGGTCCAGGGGGTGGTGCTGGAGAGGACAGCCAACCCTGCTCTTCTCAAGTTGGGCCTCAAAGTGGATGCCCACCAAGCACAGAACCATTCAGAGTGGCCGTCTGTGCCACTGTGGGAATGAACAGATGGCTAGAGGGAGGCCGGTGGGGGACAGGGGGATACCCAGCAGAGATGGGTAGGGGTTGCTCCAAGAGGGCCTTAGGGAGGGAGTGTCAAAGCTGATCCCTGACACCTGGCTGGAGGGGGAGGGAGCGGCCTGGCACAGTCAGGCACCTCAGAGAGGCTGAGGACAAGGACGGAGGTGGCCCAGGGAGTCCTGTGAACTGAACCGTGAGCTGACACCAACACGCTGGTTGCAGGAAAACACAGAGCTGTTCAGAGCAGACACGTCGAGCCAGCCCTGGAAGGACTACGTCTCCTACATCGACACCAAGGTCCTGAAGGAATTCGAGTTCTTCATCCGCAAGTCTCTCAATTACCTGATGGACAACATGGTCTTGGATGTAAGTGGTCAGGGCAGGACCAGCCCGAGGTGTGGGTGTGAGAGGGTGGGGGGCGTGCACACGCTCTCCCCATAACACAAGGTGAGGTCTGGCTGGGAGACCGTGGTGTGGAGTTTCTTTATCTAGATAAACGGATGTGCCAGGTGCAGTGGCGCACACCTGTAATCCCAGCATCTCGGGAGGCTAAAGCAGGAGGATCGCGAGTTCAAAGCCAGCCTCAGCAACTTAGCGAGGCCCTAAGCAACTTTAAGAGAACTTGCCTCTAAATAAAATATATTTTAAAAGGGCTTGGATGTGACTCGCTGGTGAAGTGCCCCTGGGTTTAATCCCTGGTACCAAAAAAAAAAAAAAAAAAAAGTTATAAAAATCTTCCTATTAAAATCAGAATTCCCAGTCACCTCAGTCTGCCAACAGCACAAATCAGCTGGAAAAAACCTAAATGGATCTGAGAGAATGGTCCTACCTGTGGCCAGGAGGGGCGGAGCAGGCACTGCTATCCCCTGAATGTGTTGGTGGGGACCAGGATCCCGCCAGCAACCCTGGCCAGGAACCTGCCATCCCCTGCTAGGCAGAGTGCTAACCAGGCCAGACAAGAGGGAGCACTGGTTCACTCCACCAAGAGGCCCCCGGGCCCTCCAAGAGGGTGACCCTCTCCCCACCCGACTCCCCTGCGTTATGGTGACTGCCAAGTGACTCTGAGGACTGCCACTGAGGCAGGTCAGAGCGCCCCGTCACCCACAGGAATAGCATGGCCCTGAGATGCTGGAGCCACGGAGGGGGACAGGAGGAGCGCAGGTCCCAGGGGCGGGTCCGTGACTTCCTCGTCCATTCTGCTGTGACAGGGTGCCAGACCAGGGCTTCCAGGAGCAGACGGGGCTGCGGCCACCGGGGAGCTTTGGCAACAGGAGCCGGGGGACATGAGGGTGGCCAGCAGGGCTGTGTCCTCTGGTTGTCCCAGTAACCTGGAGACCGGGCAGCGGCTGTCCCCACCCTCCATACTGATGACCCTTGCTTTATACATTCATGGAAACTGAAGCTTAAGTGACCTTCTCGAGGCCACACAGCGGATGGTCAGCAGCTGTGGGCCTGGGGCCAAGTGACCGTCTCCCCGGGCACCGCCTCCCCACACAGCCTGCTCCTGCGGTGTTGGTCCCTGGGCCTGCGCTTGTCCCCTACTGAGAAGGGCGTTCCCCCAACCTCACCTCGGACAGTGCCCAGGACGGTGCTGGGAGAGCCACGGCCCTGACCGCGACCCCTTGTTTCAGGAGAGTGTGGCGCCCCTGTTTGAGATCCGCATGGAGCTGAACGATGAAGGGCTGACCTTCAACCCGTCGCTGGAGGTGGGCTCTGAGCGTGGCTTCCTGGCGCTCATCGAGGGCCTGGTCAATGACATCTACAACGTGGCCAGACTCATCCCCCGGCTGGCCAAGGGCAAGGTGAACTACAAGGTCAGTCGTGGCTGACTGTGGCCTGCCCTCTCCCTGTGTGGGCAGCCCTTGCTCTGGGGTTTAGAATGGCGCCCCCAGCTCAGCACAGTGACAGCAGTGGCCCGGAGTCCCCAGGACTGCAAACTCTCTCTCCCTCCCACCCTCCCTCCCTCCCCTGCATCTGTCCTTCCCCAGGGGCCTCTGGTCCCCTGGGTGTCACTCCCAGCCGGATGTGGGGAATGTGGTCTCCGCTGCCCGTGGGTCCACTCTGGGGATGGCCCCGCACTCGGGCATTTCCAGTCTGGTGTGTGCTGGTGTTTGTGAACGCGCGTGTGCATTTTTGCCTGGGTGGCGAGGTGAGTGGGGACGCAGGAGGACAGCGCTGACTCCCGGGGAAGGTCTCGGGCACCTTCTACCACGTGCAGCTGAGAACTCTTCCCGACGGGCGGGAGGATCTTCCAGACGGAGTCGGGCTTGTGACTTCTGAGTCACAGAAAGGTGGCATGCCTGTCCCCCATGAGCCCAGCAACCTGTCCCAGAGTTCAGAATGGCTCGCCACAGTTTGGCACACACAAGACAAGCAAGTGCCCTTGGAGGTGCGGTGCCTGGGGCTGCCCTCCACCCCCACCCGAGTTTCCCCAGACCAGCAGCCGCTGTGGACAGAGCTAGCCGCCCCCACCCAGGGCTCTCATGGCACCCAACACAGGGTGTCCCAGAGACCCTGGGGACGCCAGGACGGGACGTTGCAGAACTGAAGGGCTCTGTGTGCCAAGGGTCTCTCAAAGCCTGCCAGCTAGGGGCAGAGACAGCCTGAGTCTGACCCGTGCCACACGGGGGGCAGATGGCGCAGGCCCAGGCACCCAGGCCTGGGTGGCGGAGAATCCCAGGGGTGCTTCTGATGGCACAGCCTGGAGGAGTTGGGGTGAGGGCAGACGGGACGGAGCAGGAGACCTTGGAGCTGAGAGCCTGGTGGGGTCCAGGCTGCCAGCCTAAAGTCCTAGGGACCTAGGGGACGATGGCCCTGCAGGGGGACCGGTAGGAGGGAGTAGCCTGTCTGTCTGAGGAGTTGGCGCCACCTGGCTGCTGGAGGGAGCTCCCACTGGCCCAGCTGACCAGTGGGGTCCACAGTGCTGGCCGAAGTGTTGGGCTCAGGTACAGCCGGGGACCAACACAGTCACTGAGAAGCAGACCCAAGACGGGTGCCCCAAAGCTGAGACACGCACCCCGGGGCCCCCCTACCCGCCCTGGGGCCCAGGTGGAGCTTCACCCCCGAGGACAGACTGAGGACTGGCCCGTGGGCTCAGGACAGGCCACTCCAGGCCGTGCCTCGGTGGCTGTAGGAACTGCTCCAGAGGAAGCCTCTCTCCACAGGGAGGTCGTGACACTGCAGGACACCAGAAGGGACAGAAAATAAAACCTGGTTCACGAACACTCACGCACCACCTTGGGACTCACTAATCACGCGATCCAAGCGTTCTCTTTTTGCACACCACTTGAGTGGGATCTGTCACTTAAAACTGAAAAAACTGAAAAGATCCAGTCCAGCACAGGCCTCCTGAGCCCTGCTCCAGGCTCCAGGGGGAGACGGCTTTCCACTCCCCACTCTGCTTCTTGGCACCACAGGGCCCTGGCACATGCTGGCTGGTTGCTGGCTCTCTGTCTGCCTGCCATCAGCTCTTCTCCCAACGGTCGTTTCTCAGGGGCATTCCCTGACCTCCTCCGAATCACACCTTAGAGCAAGGGTCAGAGCCAGCAGGTGTTGTTTCTGTGCTTCTTTGATGGAAGTCTGCCCTGCACCTGGACAGCACACCACTGTGGGCCCTCCTTTGTCCACCCTAGCACAGGGCACACGGCAAGGGCTGAGTAGAATGGAACGAGGGAATTGACGTGGGAGTCATCCGGGTCCTGGGGGCAGAAACCACACTGGCGTCAAACCCGTCCCCGGCCGTGGGAGCTGGGCGCCACTGCCCCACCCACAGCGGCTTCCAAGGCCGGGAGGGAGCATCTGTCAGAACCGCAGGCGGCAGGCAGCTCACCCCCGGCCTCGCCCGCCCTCTTTCAGACGGAACTGGAGGACCAGACGGACCTCATCGAGATGCGGGAGGAGCTGTCCGGCCTGGTCATCAACGCCATGAAGGAGGCGGAGGAGTACCAGGACTCCATGGAGCGGTACTCGTACCTCTGGACGGACGACCTGCAGGAGTTCATGCGGAACTTCCTCATCTTCGGGCACGTGCCCACGGCGGAGGAGCTGGACACTCGGACAGACATCACCATGCCCAAGACGCCGCCGGCCCTCACGCAGTTCCAGGAGCAGGTGTGCCCAGGCCGCCGAGTGCCCCAGTCAAGGACGCCAGGGCTGGGTGTAAATCCCAGTGTCACCCCTGAAGACATGGTCTGCTGAGGCCCCTAGATCAGGGGACAGTCACCACCAAGAGGGAACTGTGCAGAGGAGGGGTGGGGGGACCACGCAGGCCCCAGGCCCCAGACCCCAGGGCAGGTCGGGAGGTGGGGGAGCACGGGTCACATTAGCAGAAGCCCTGCTGCAGTCTGTGGGAAGGACCCAGCAGTCGGCAGGCCCAGGGCTGGCCAGCATCGTCCCCCCACAGGCCCAGGGCTGGCCAGCACTATCCCCCCACAGGCAGGCCCAGGGCTGGCCAGCATCGTCCCCTACAGGCAGGCCCAGGGCTGGCCAGCATC